CGTAAGCTCACACCAGCAAGGGCCAATCAGAATTCAAGAATGCTTTGTGCCGTCTAGACGATGCCACATTGCGGATGGAAGAGGTATGGCTGTCGTCAGTGTGGCAGGTGAAAACTTGGCTTGTGAGTGGCTAGGAATTGTCCACCTGCCCAAGCCCTACACAATTTAAGGATATCTCCTGTGCAGTTAGCCAATGGGAAGTAGGTTAGGAATTGTACCATACTTGCCCGACTGCAGAATCATGATTATTACCTTGGATCCCTCTATTATAAATAGAGGGCTCTTCTCTCATTTACAGGATTCACTCATTTTTAGTTTTCTAAACCAAACTTTGTCTCTCTGCATTTATATTCTCTCTAGATTGTAATTCAACTTGCTGTACGCGACCTAACTGTAATCACCCATTAATACAATTATAGTGGACGTAAGATTTGCTTTTAAGCATCCGAATTACTTTAAAAATTGTCTATTGTTTTTTCTCTCGTTGCGCAGTTCCATATTACATGTAATTTCTAAGTCTGCTTAGCACTTTACACGTGAGAGTCGTTAGTGTCAAAATCAAGCATCAACATAAGACATCAAAATTTTACAATGGACCACACTTAAAAACCTCTGGAGCATGCATGCATATGAATATGATAGCTATATATATGCGCTCAATGCATGCGCATGCACCTTTTTGACTTTTAATTAGGGTTCTGCTCCTGCAAATTATGTGAATTTTCCAACTCATGCATGGGCATGGCATGGCCATTTGGCTTTGCCTTCTCATAACATTCTCCAACAGTTTGCATCACAATCCAGAGTGGTCCGTCGCACCTATTAAAGTCATATAACGATGATCTTTAAAAGGTTCTTCAACTGCTCTTAAACCATGCATGCCAAATTCCCTTTATATATTGTGGATAGCTAATTCTCCATTATCTTGATCATATTCTAACTTTCTAACGCGAATTTGGGACCATTCCTGAATTCTAATAGATATTAGAAATTCTGTTGGTGAAAGCAGCCACCCAGTTACATCATATGAGTAAATTTATGCTGGTTTTTTTAGATTTTGCGAGTAAGAGAACCGTAACTCAGTTACAATAAATTAAATTCCATATTCTTGACCACTCGCTGCAAAAGTTGTTTTCTCTACTTTACCGCAATTTCTCCGCCCAAAAGTTTAGTTCACACCAACGCGTTGAATCCGAGTCTTGGAGACTTATCTTTTCCCTTTGGCGTTAACTAGGAAGAGAGTTTACATGCAACCAAATGGGTCATATTCTCAGTGGACTTGAGTACGTAGCGTAGCTTGGCCCATCATCAAAACGCGTTGCCGTTTCCACAACTTGTGTGTTAATATGAGCCGGGTGGGAGGGTTTCTGGTGGGTAGAAGACAGGAAGCAGAAGACATTGATTGATTGATTGATTGATTCAAACTCCATCTCCAAAGTCCAATCACACTTGAGTTTCCTCTCCATACCTTATTTTTTTTCCTCAAATCATCTCACAGACGGTGTCGTTTTCTTATCAATACCATCTAAATGTCTCCATCAAAAAATAAAATAAAATTCTGTGTCTGATTATTTGGTAGTATATATTAATCAATTGAATTGCGAAGAAGCTGATAAGAAGAGTGACAAAGGCCACCCGTTGTTTGTTTAGATCATATATTGGAGTTTTATTATTGGCATGACAAAGCCACTTTTGTTGACTGATACCTAGTCAACCTGAGCTGCTCTTATGAAAAGTTGAAAACCATCAAGCTGCTTTTACGTTACAATGTGTTGTATTGAGAGATATGGAGATTAATTACCATCGTGTGCAAGGTTAGATTTTCTTCCAATTTTTTTTTTGATAATCTTTAACTATATAATATTATATGAGAATGATGGATACTCTAATTTATGGACTATTTTGCTTTTGTATCGTATTATAATGACGCTGATCAGCTGGAGAGTAATAAGCAATTTATAAGAAAATAATTAAACCAGTCAAAAACTGTTATATCTAAAAAGTCACGCTTATGTCAGCTCATTTAATATCTTCTTGTACCAGTTGCCAAGCCCATATCTTTAAAGATATTCTCACCAACTCTATCTCATTTCAAGAAATGAATGGACGAGAACCTTCCATGTGTCAAGGCAACTTGCAAAACACTCATTACATTGAGTGTTTGGGTGAATAAATAGGCATTTCTCTTCACGAAGAAGGGAGGCTAGAGGCTGGGCTGAGATTTGAGCTTCATTTTCATTCTCTCTCTGTAAACATTGTATTTCTTCATCTTTTTATGTCTTACGGGCAAAATCATAGAAATAGTCAGTGAGCAATAAAATAACAGTGAATATAGGAGTCGCTTGTTGAGCATCCGAACCACTAATAAAAACCCCCTCTTGCCAATCTTTTATTTATTTTTCTGCAAAATATATAATCTCAGCTCCATATTCAAATCTCATGGATCCATCATGTATGTCTCCTGAGTCCGCTCAGCATTTTCCACGTGCGAGTCGTTGGCGTCCAAAATCAAGCGTCAACAAAAACTAAATTAGAAAAATAATTCTCCTCTGAATATCAAAAATTGGTTAAGATTTGGCAAGTACAAGGGGTACAGTTGACAATGGCACCCAATTTCGAGTTTATTTAGCTTCTGTCGTCACAATTACTTTTATGGCAGAAGAAACATCTCCTATTTTATGTCAACGGATACGAACATGATTAGATTGACTAAAATTTGAAATAAAAAATTAACCAAGCGGCTTTTGACTTTAGATCAGAAGCTTACATGTTTGAACAGTTTGATTAATCATGTATTGATCAATATTTAAGCTTTTATTCAATGAAATATCCGCAGAAAAAACTTAGTTAATTTGTAAATTATAATGTCAAATAAGATATACATTGAGTTCCTTGACGTAAGAGAAGCTTGAGAAGTGAAGATGATATAATGAATGACAAAAGCCTGCGTCATTCGTCTCTTTAATTTAAAGCATGCAGTATGCTGTTGCTGCTTTCTCTTACAGCCATAATATTAGTTACATGTTATATATCTATCTCCCATATTTTTGGTTATATATCTCAACTTATTAATGAACTTTAGGACCTGTTGTTGGTTCGTGATACAAAAATGTTTTTCGAAATATTAAGATATATAAAGTATTGAGCCTGTGATGTGAATGAACCAATCAGTAGGTCAAAGGGACTCTGGATTAACTGAATTAAAGACATAACTTAATTTTGCTTAAACAATAATTAAGTAGCCAGACGTGCTGCATCAAATAAGACAGAATACGCGGCTGCAAGTTCACATCATGATGAAATTGTTAACGTTTAAAAAACTTGAACTCATTTGATAGTCAAGCCATTGATGAGTTTCTCAGAGAATAATTCTTGAGATATTCTCTACTGACCCCCAAACCCAAACCCAAATAAAAATAATATAAATTAATTAACTTATTTCAAAAACATTATGGATTGAATCATCTCCCTTATCCAATATTATTGAATAAACTTTTCTGCTTATATATCGATATAATTATGACTTTACATAATTTAAGAGATGTTGGTGTATTTTTAGATACAACTGAACCCTAATCTAAAGAAATTCTTCTCACAATTAATTGATATAAAATGTAGCTTTGACCAAAACTTCAATTTAATAACATGTAACTTTAGCGTGCAAAGGAAAAGTATATATTAAAATCTGAAAGGAACATAACTACCTCTCACTTCTTAATCGTGTGAATATCTCTGGTTCCCTGTGTGCCTTGTATGGCTATGATAGCGGCTATACGATAAGATCAATATATACAGTCAAGTCAATAACTTATATTAAAATGTTTATTATCAGTATAATCACCAAATACTAATTATAATTATGCCTGTTTCCACATGATGTTAAAAGCGATTAGCGGTCCAGTACGCAAGTTTACATCAATAATCCTTTTCCTTGACCCAAAAAGGTTAATAATTTCACGATCAAGTGGAGGATCCTCTCAATTAGATTTCTAGAAGTAGAAGTAGCTGGCCTTCTTCATCACGTCTGCTTGGTAATGGTGCATGTGTGGATATATTAGTGCTGACCATTCTTTGCCTTATGATATCAGATACATTGTAGAGTTTTTTATCTACTTTTCACATGAACTACTTGACGTTTCACTACATGATTGGATCACAAAGCATTAAATTTATTATTTCCCAGCAGCAATCCACGTAATCTGGTGCAAGAATTTCACATGATCCTGACATATATATTATTATTAACCATCATTTTAACTTGCAGAACCTGGAAATGAGAAAAGCAAGTCAAATAGTGAAAGATTAAAAACAGATATCAATTAAATCTGTCTCTCTCGCCAGGGCTAGCTATCTGGCCGGCTCCATAACTTAAACAAGTAGAGAACCTCAAAAAGTGCTCATATATACTGCAAGACACATTACCACACCCGATCGAAATTGAGCCAAAAAGTGGTTAAACTGGTCTCTTCGTCAGTCCGCGGTAATTAAGAAGAAAGGAGTAGACTTCAACTAATCCACATCCCAAAAGTTGATAGATGACAACATCACTTTTATTTTACTAATAGTGAATATTTACGGAGAGTTATTAAAATGCAGAATATGTCATTTGATCAGCAAAATGTTTATGTCCATTTATACTTTAGTACATATGATCTACACTTATCCCATTTTAATTGGAAAAAAAAAATTATGTTTTCCCCAACTTAAATTTTTATATATAATTGCCATTATTTTTGGTTTTTGTGTTTGTTGGATTGTGAGGGTATAAACACACAACGTTTGAGTTGGTGAACTTGCATATGATGGATTATCCATATTTTACTGTAGGAAACCTGTAGTATAATAATGAGGAAATAACTTAGCAAATGAAGCAACAATTAATTAACAATGTGAAAGAGTTGAAATTAATATAGAAGGAAGCTGGCAAGCTGTGAAAGCGTTGACGTAGATAAAAGAATAATTAAATACGGGATATGCTATTAGATGCCGGATTCGATTCTGGGCTTTGGTAAGCACTTACTCACTTAAAAAGCCGGCAAACACAACCACAAATCTCCAGCTTTCTCTTCTCTTCCTTCACTGCAATTGCATGTTCAAAAAGCAGGTTAGCTTCTCCCTCTGTCATCTCACACACGCACACAAACTTTGTTTTAGACTACTTTTTGTGAACCAAGAGAAATTCCTTGCTTTTGGGAACTGCTTTTTTAGATTTTTTTTAGCACTTTTTGATACTCAAAGTCCTTTGTCTATTGATTGTTATTGGTGGGGCACTCTCTTCATCAGTTGGAAGTTAAAAAGCACAAAAACTATTCTTCTTCTTCTTCTTCTTCTTTTTTTCCTCCTTTTTAACTCCAGAAGTGGATGCGAAGAACTCTCTTCAATTGGTAGTATAATCTGCCATTTAGATACAAGTTCATAGTCATTGCACAACTTTCTTTTATTCAGAGATCTCAGTTTTTGTTTTTTCATCCATAGACACTGCATAGAATCCTTAATATCAGGCTTTCCTCTTTTATCTTTTCTATCTCGTTACACTAACAGAAGTGATTGGGTTGGTCTTCTTGAGGAGTTAGTTATTAAATTTATTAATGGAATTACGTATGCGTACATTGAAGAATTATCTATCATGCTTTTATGAATTAATTTAAGTCTTGTTTTTATCCTCTTGTCGCCACCACATATGAGTATCCTTTTTTATACATGCGTATATTTGTTTTCCTTCTCCTTTTAACTGCAATAAATTAAGCTGGCCAAGCTAGCTAGCTCTCTCATGATAATCCTCTGCAATAACTGATATTTTGTCAAAGCAACTAATTAGTCCACCTATTATTATTTTATAAGTATAATATATAAGAATAATTTGTTGTGAGGAATAATAATTCTATAGTCAAATAAGAACTGGGTAATAGATATCCAGCTTTCTGTCGCTGTGCCGGATAATAACGATGTATTTAAGCCCTATGAAAAGTACACATGCATGTAAATTTTTATGTCATCATCATTTTTCTATGTAGAAATCGTGAATATTATCTCAGTAATTCAAGATGGAAATTTAGATCACATGGGAAAGAGTAGGAGACCGTGTCAACTTGTTTTGTTTTTTAATGGGCATCATGCTTTGCAAAAATCTAACTCCATCGTGATCATTTTGCTTCACAATAATTGAGGCCAAAAAGATTTTTCAAAACTCAAGCTGCAGTAAATTCATTTACGAAATTCTGATTCTATGCTAATATGAGGTAATATTAAGACTCGAATAATAACATGAATTTAATTAAATCATATTGTTGCTCTTGTATGTATATATGCAGGAAACTTAATTTCCAAAGTCTTGCCTGAGGAAGACTAATACCCATAAGTTTTATCATCTAGCCATGGCTAGAGAACAATTGATTGTGCTTAATGCACTTGATGTGGCGAAGACCCAATGGTACCATTTTACTGCCATTGTTATTGCTGGAATGGGATTCTTCACAGATGCATACGATCTCTTTTGCATCTCCTTGGTCACCAAGTTGTTGGGTCGCATTTACTACCACGTTGATGGCGCTCCAAATCCAGGAACATTGCCTCCAAGGGTTTCAGCTGCCGTTAATGGGGTGGCTCTATGTGGCACTTTAGCTGGTCAGCTCTTCTTTGGTTGGCTTGGAGACAAACTAGGTCGAAAAAGGGTTTATGGTATAACTCTTATTCTCATGGTTGTTAGCGCCATCGCCTCTGGACTTTCCTTCGGAAAAAGTCCAAACGGTGTCATGACAACCCTTTGCTTCTTCAGGTTTTGGCTTGGTTTTGGTGTTGGTGGTGACTACCCACTTTCAGCCACTATTATGTCTGAATATGCTAACAAAAAGACCCGCGGAGCATTTATTGCTGCGGTTTTTGCCATGCAAGGTTTTGGTATTTTGGCTGGTGGGTTTGTAGCTCTAATTGTATCAACTGCATTTAATCATTCATTCAATGCTCCTCCATACTCAGTTGATCCCATAGGCTCCACCGTGCCTCAAGCTGACTATGTTTGGCGTATTGTGTTGATGGTTGGTGCCGTTCCTGCTACTCTTACATATTATTGGCGTATGAAGATGCCGGAAACTGCTCGTTACACAGCTCTTGTTGCCAAAAACGCAAAACAAGCTGCTGCTGACATGTCGAAGGTCTTGCATGTAGAACTTGAAGTAGAGGAGGAAAAGGTAGCAAAAATGACCATAGAAAATCAATCCAATTCCTTTGGATTGTTTTCAAGGGAATTCTTGAAACGTCACGGACTTCACTTGTTTGGAACCTGTTCCACTTGGTTCTTGTTAGATATTGCATTCTACAGTAATAATCTTTTCCAAAAAGATATTTTCAGTGCAATTGGATGGCTTCCTCCAGCACAAACAATGAATGCTATTGACGAGGTTTTCAAGATTGCAAAGGCACAAACACTTATAGCCCTATGGAGTACAGTTCCAGGGTATTGGTGCACAGTGTTTCTAATTGATTATATTGGAAGGTTTGCAATCCAAATGATGGGTTTCTTCTTCATGACAGTGTTCATGTTTGCACTCGCTATACCTTATGATCACTGGATCCAGAAGGCTCACAGAATTGGTTTTGTCGTTATATACTCACTAACATTTTTCTTTGCAAATTTTGGACCAAATGCCACGACATTTGTGGTGCCAGCAGAGATCTTCCCGGCAAGGCTAAGGTCAACTTGTCATGGAATATCAGCAGCGGCTGGTAAAGCAGGTGCAATTGTGGGCGCATTTGGTTTCCTATACGCCGCCCAAAGCACTGACAAAACCAAGACAGAGGCCGGTTACCCACCTGGTATTGGTATCAAGAATTCACTGATAATGCTCGGTGTTATTAACTTTGTTGGAATGATATGCACTCTATGCGTCCCAGAGGCAAAGGGAAAATCACTTGAGGAATTGAGTGGTGAAAATGAGGAGGAGACTGACCAGGCAGTTGCTTCTACTAGGACTGCTCCTGTGTAATGATTTTTATTAATATATCAAACTCTGTGAAAATTCAATGGTAGTTCATTTTGGTTTCCTGTTACGTCTATGAAATTAAACACAATAATTTATTTAATTATAATAATTGCTCTCGAATGTTTGCTTGTTGGTCCAAGTGCAACTACACGCTGTGTATTGAATTTGTTTTGATTTAACCATTTTCTTTGTGATTCACAATTACGCTTTTATTGTGATGAAAAATAATTGTATTTTCTTTAAGATTATATCATTTATGTGTGGCTCGAATTTATCGAAGTGCAACGTGTAATATCCTGATAAAGGAGGATACTGAGGACAAATTCTTTGTGGCCTTCTATAGTTGACATCAAACAAACATCCAATTTTCATCAAACGTCTTTGGGGCCGTTAGAATTAAGTGGGGACTCCACGCGTATAAGCCCAAATACGACTTTCTTTCATTATATGATAACCATTTTCTTTTTCTTTTTCTTTTTCTTTAAAAAAAAAAAATTCCTTATTCAATAATTTCCAATACGACGCAGAACAGGCTGGCTAAGCAATAAAGTTGAGTCTAACCACTACTGGGTGGTCTAGCGGTCAATTATAACTTTTGGGTATATTATTCAAAAAGTTCTGAGTTTAATCCATCTGAGTTGCTAATAGGGGTGGCCACTGAGCGAATTTACTTGATTATCAACTTTAAAGTTCCAGAAGATTAGTTGAGGTACACGCAAGTTGGACACCCCTGATCACCAGAAAAGGACACCCCTGATCACTAAAAAAAAAAAAAAAAAATTTGAGCGCGCTTGCTCAGTAAAGACCTCCCAAAGATTTTAACAAATTAGGTTAACACAAATACTTCACTCCTTTTAACTTCCTTAGCTCTATTAGGGTTATTTCCCTCCAAAATACAAAACTGACAAGTTTGAATTAGTCATTTGCACTCTTTATTGTCAATTTTTTTTTTTTAAAAAAAAAGAGGTCATGGTTCAGACAATCTGAAAATGGTGGTTTCGACTATAAGAGATGGGGTGTAAGTGGCTAATTATAGGGGGCAACTGTCAATGTTTTATGTTTAAGGGATGTAAATGAAAATAACTCTAAAAGAGTCCTAACAGAAGTTAAAAGAATACGGTGTTTGTATTAACCTATTGATCTTTTCTGTACGACCGTGAAATATTGAAACCTTAGGGGAGGTCCATGTAATTAATTCTGCAATAAATCAAACTCTATAACGATGGTAGGCAGTATATAACTAGCCGGCCTCTGGACCTCACCCATAGTTGACTGACTCAAATTACAAGAGCAGCCAAATGAATGGCTAATTTTTAAGTTAACAGTCAACAATAAAGATTCTTGTTTGAGATAAAGAAGATGTAAGCAGAGTGAGATAATAACTTTAAGCACTTGGTTACTAATTTCAGTTCAGACTTGAGAGTAGTTCACTGCATGCCTTTTGTTTTCTAGAATGAATATTGATGATGCTTGATTTTGACATCAATGACTTGTACGTATAAAGTAATAAGTTGTTTTTAGAAATTATACATGAATGATTGGGATAATCGAATGCAAAGACTAAATAATAAATGAGAGATGGTTTTTAAAGTAGTTCGGATGCTTAAAACGAATCCTACGTTCATTGTTTCTTTTATTTATGAGAGATTATAAGAGGTCGCGTATAGTAAACAGAGAGTAATTAAAGGTTCAATAACTTAATGTTTAGAGAGAATATCAAGTCAGTCTATTTTTCATAAGTTGTTTTTGCTCCAAAGATAAAGATTACAAACACAACGAGATTTTAAGATTAGAATCTCGAAAATGAGAAGGAGGGTCCTCTATTTATAGGAGAGAAATTCAAGATAATGATTACATATCTGTAAGTGGGTATGTGTCATGCAAGTCTTTTCTTGCCTCCCATTGACTGATAACTTGGGAAATATTCTCAAATTACCTTAGGCTTGGACAGTTAAATACTTGAATTAACCTTTTGATCTTTTCTTCTATACGACCGTGAAATATTGAAACCTTAGGGGAGGTCTTTGTAAAATTTTTTGCAATAAATAAAACTCTATAACAATGGCAGGCAGTATATAACTAGCTAGCCTCTGGACCTCACCCATAGTTGACTGACTCAAATTACAAGAGCAGCCAAATGAATGGCTAATTTTTTAAGTCAACAGTCAGCAGTAAAGATTCTTGTTTGAGATAAAGAAGATGTAAGCAGATTGAGATATTAGACTTTAAGCAGTCGGTTACTACTTTCAGTTCAGACTTGAGAGAGTAGTTCACTGCCTTCTGTTTTCCGGAATGAATTTGGTTGCAATTACTAAAAGAAATTAATTATATATATTCTTAAGTTTCCCTTGTGTATAAGTTACTACTGTAGTTGCTTAATACACAAGCGAGTCCGTTGGATTTCCCAAAACTTAGTTAAAAAATCAGTAAAAACCTTCGATAATGATATAATGGACATACAGGAAGTTTATTTGTGGCTTATGGAACTGCCCTAGCTTCTACGAAACCTTTTGAAGAATCTTTGCTTTTTATCATTCGGTTAATGAGATGATATAATACATGAAGTCGGGTCAACTTTGTATGCTCCATCACCATGAAGTTAGTTTAAAAGCTCGCATTCTTTGACAATATTTCCCAAAACTAAAGTCAGACATATGTGCTTCTTTCAACAGTGCTTTGCGAAAGCTACAGCTAACACTTTTGGAATTTGTTTTAGTTAAAATTCCAATTGTAAACGTTAACATCAAACTTGGAAACTCCATACGTGTTCTGTCTTTTAGATAATACCCTAAAAATCAAACTTCTTCATTTCTATATACAGCATATTATTTGTCGATTTTTCTCTTCTGCAGTTTGACTTAACTAAGTAGTTGCCACTTCCATTTCTTAATATCTATTTAAACAAATTCTCATCAAATTTATGTGCATTGAATCTAACTCAATCGGATATCACAGTAGCATTAACATGATCATTAATAAGAAACTTTGCTTTAACTTGTTATTTTTACCTCTCAAAGTGTCACAAAAAAAAAAGGGGGGTATTAGACTTTTATGATGGCGCCTCCTAATATTTCTAGGTTAAAAGTGTTGTAGTAATAATTAAACATCCCTTATAAAGAAAGTAAGAGAAAGTTCTCGACTGTGAAATGGTAATTTACAATTGATCAAGCTTGAGACATATACCTTCCACCACTTGTATACTTTGGATTCAGTGGAGATCGAAGAAGACCATATATATTATTAAGTAATTGCGGCAGCAATATCTGTGACTTACATTTGTGAAATTCTCAGCCCACCACTGTGGAAAGAGTAATAGATTCAAGTGAGGAATAATAACGAGAGGGATGGCATGGTTCAAATGATGAATTTTTGAAAATATTTATATATCATGTAAAACGGACCATTGAATTTGAAACACGATGAGGGCATGCTACTAATACCTGACATAAGTTTCTGTTTTTAAAGCTCAAAAGAAAAATATTCTTACTTTTAGCAGGATTCTGACCTTTTAGAACACCTCGAAATATTTATTAGCTGGATAGAATCTCGTCCAGATATAATCAAAATGGTGGAAGTAATTATCATTTGAAACTTGATTAATAGGTGAATCTACATGTGTCGATATTGAGGTAAGCTTTGCTTTGGTCCTATCCCAGAAGAAATTTGTATTGGAACTTGGCCTAACTTGATGAGATCGAGTTCAGAACAATGAATGTAAATGGATTTATTAGTGGTGCTACTCCGATAGGAAGCATCAGCCTTTTTGTGTATTTTCACAACATGCATTAATTCCCTGAAGTTGAAGTTGATCACCATTGACAACCTCTGGGTACATGGACGTAGTTAGGATTCTAACTTAGTAGGTTCAAAACATCAAAATTGATAAATTTATTAATAAAATATATATTAAAATAATAAACATAAAAAATATACTTTTAAAAGTTATATATACCAAATTATCAATTCTACAATTATCCTCGACGATTTTTTATATTTGAAAACTTTATATAATCCTCAAATCTCTATAACTTCGAATTTCATTAATTTTTTTTAACCATTCAAAATTAACTCAATAACTAACCAAAATTTATCAAACCCAATTTAAAACAACAACTAATTAACTCATACCTCAACATAAACAAGATTAAATCAAAATTCATGTTAAAATATAGTAATTTAATCTTATAATTTTAAACTCATTTATTAAACTCAACAAAAACTCAAGATTATGATCTACAGTAAAAGTAGTGTATATATAGTGAAAATCATTAGAAATAATTGAAGTGGGATTGTGTTTTAATGAAGAGTGGTGTGGTGAGTTGATCTCTTGGGCAAAGGTGATTTGATAGTGGTGGGGGAAGGAGACATATGGATCCAAATCCAATCTAAAATAAACTCACCTTAGCCTCTAGAAGTTGTTAGCCGACTCCCATTAATTTATACTCTTTTTTTTTCTATATATATTTTCTGCTGATTCTGTTTCCTAGTCAGGAAAGGTAGATTTGCTCACTTGTTTTTTTATTGTATTACTATATGTAATTTTTAAATGTAGTTTGAATACAGAACATCAACAAATTGATTAATTCATAACCATTAAGAAAAACGATCGTTAAAGTACAAATTCTGAACGACTATTTATGGTTGAGGTAAGCTTTGCTTTGGTCCTATCCCAGAAGAAAATTGTATTGGAACTTGGCCTAACTTGATGAGATCGAGTTCAGAACAATGAATGTAAATGGATTGATTGGTGGTGCTACTCCGATAGGAAGCATCAGCCTTTTTGTGCATCTGAAGTTGAAGTTGATCACCATTGACTACCACTGGGTATAGGGACATAGTCAAGATTCTAAATTAGTGGATTCAAAACATCAAAGTTGATAAATTTATAATAAAATATATAATGAAATAATAAGCATAAAAAATTTACTTTTAAAAGTTATATATATCAAATTATCAATTCTACAATTGTCGTCGATAATTTTTCATATTCTGAAAACGTTATATAATCCCCAAATCTCTACAACTTAGGATTTCATCAATTTTTTAAACCATTCAAAATTATCTCAATAACTAATCAAAATTTATCAAACTCAATTTAAAACAACTAATTAACTCATACCTCATTATAAACAAAATTAAATCACAATTCACGTCAAAATATAGTAATTTAATCTTATAATTTTAAACTCATTTATTAAACTCAACAAAAACTCAGAACTCATAATCTTTCATCAGTTAAGAAAGTTAAAAGAGAATAATTTTAAATGAAAATAAAAAATAAAATGAGCATCACTTTACCTTATAATCCAAAATAGTAGCCTTTCTTGATTATCCAACCAAAGAAAATATATAATTTGATAGAAAATGAGAGGAAATGAAGAAATGAGAAAAGTTAAAAAAAATGTTAATTAATAATTCATGTTGTGGGTCAACATAAAATTAAGTGGGGTTAAAATTATAAAATTTATAAAACATTAATACTTTTTTGAAACTTTTTAAAAGTTAAGTGAGCTCAATTGAACCCAAAAGTACCCAAAAGTCTGGCTACATGCTTGTCTAGGTTGTTTGACAATTTGTTTAGGTCTCTTGGGTATATTACTCAAGAGGTTTTGAGTTTGAATTCTTACGATTACTAATAAAGAATAGTCACTAAAATCTTATTTAGCCATTAACTTTAGGGTCTAAAAGACTAACTGAAATACATGTAAACTAATCTAGACGACTCTAAATATCAAATAAAAAAAAAAAAGTTGATCATCACTCATTCTCTTTAACTATTAGGTAAACAAAATCATAAATGACTGACACAATCCTTAATTAATTTTCCCTGTTAAACGAATTTTGATTCGACTATATTCTTTTACCACAACAGGATCGTAAATGCCTTAATTAGGGGGAAGTTATTAAAAAGACATTTGAAGTTTACATTTAATTAAAAGGCTATCAAGTTTTGAAATGTTAACTAAATAGCCATATTATTGATTAAGGGTAATTAGTGCTTAATTACGATTAATGTAATCTTTTCAAAAATATCTATATTTCCACAAATCCGAAATTGTTGCAAATAAACCCAAAAACCTTCNGCAATTTGCTTTTGGGGTGGTGAAGAGAAAAGATTTCCTTACCTAGATGATCTTCTTTCTTTTAGATGGAGATATTTGGTTTGATTGTCTTTATCTTTGAATTAATGTCCTAGAAAATACCATTTATAGTCTAGAGTTGGCCCTATAAATAGAGGTCTAATTCATTGTTGAAAAACATAGTTGATTACGAAATAAATTGAATACTCTCTCGCTCTAATTCTCTCTAACATTTCCTCTAAATTCTGCTATAATTTCTCCCCCTTTCTCTTCCCTCTAATCTCTATCAATCAGCTTCCTTATAATCCATTTGTTTAGTGAAAATAATCTAACTCCAGGGACCAAGAACCATGACCGGATAGCCAAAAGAAAAAGCAAACTGAAATTGGTTGTACCTTGATGTCTCGGGGTCAAATCCCCCTCATACTAGCCTTGCGTTTGTGTGTGTGAAAGGGTGGGGTTAGGTCTGTAGTGAGTAAAAAAATGTTTGTTTTAAAAGAGGAAAAAAAAAATCACCTAGTTTAAGACACCATATAAGGGCAACACTAACCACGCAAACAAGGAGGTGACTACAGCTACTGCAAGTATAAGATCAGGCCTACAGAAAAGTGAACACACCAGGCAATGAAAAAGATCTTGCTCTTTTGGCAGTTCTCTGAGGTTACGAAATCAAAGTCATAAACTGCGTATCTACAATCATTCTCAGGCAACGAAGCAGTAAAATCTTCATAGCTCTCTGCTGGGCCTCCAGTCTTCTCAACCACAACCTCATTTTTCTTCTCATCTATCTTAAAGATCAGATAGCGGTATACCTTCTTCCTCTGCAGCTCCATGTATGTGGTCTTGCTATGCTCAGCAACCCCCATGCCGGAAGAAGCATTTGTCTACAAACAACGCCCAAACATTAAATGATTGCTACTTACTCACATCAGGATCAACAAATATGTACAAGCAAAAACAATTAGCATCAACACGTATTGCTCTAAAACAAAAGCAACTAATATTAACAGCAAAATGTATTCCAACAATATCTTCTCGATTAATAAATCCTTACATTTGTCTAAAAAAGACCCAATCAGAAACTTATTTCTTGCCCAAAAAACAGAAATTCATCTATTTTAGGAAAAAAAAGTCATAAAATCTATCATGCAAGCCCATCTTCAAGCCTTATACTACTAAGAACACGCTTCATAGGCTAATAAACACTAAGACCTCACCAAAGATTGAAACTTAACAACTACCTACAAACGAATACACTGCAAAATATAATAGTAAACAAACCAAAACTCAACCGATCAACCACAAATATAGTTCACCACACATCAGACAAAATAGCCCAAAGTAAAAACTAACAAAGCAAAATCCACACTACAAGAAAATTGGTCTATTAAGCACTAAATTATAGAGTGGTGGAGAAAGAGAAATCTTACTCCTCTGGAAGACATGGCCCCTGTGAACAAACAAACAAACGATAGAGAGGGAAACTAAGCTTTGAGAGAGAGAAATAGAAGAGAAAATAGGAAGACAGAGTAGACTTATAGAGCGAAAATGAGGGAAAAAAAATTAATTTAAAAATTGTTTAAAATAAATAAATATTCTCTCTCTAAGTCTCTAGTTTGGGAGAAAAGAAAAGTAAAAGAAAAGATTCGTATTTTGAGGGGAAAGTTAAAGAGGCGTGTCCTACGGTGACGTGACGTGCTTTGTCTGTTCTTTGATTGACACAGACCGTCATTTTATCTGGTGGGTGAAAGGGATGCTAATCTCACAACTGAGTTTTGCAATTTTATGGTATTGTTAGAATTCGTGACCGTTGATTTTAATGGATCATGGTAAGATCCGTTATCTGCCTTCCACGTGTAACTATTGGCCCTAGCTGTTACATGGCCGTATCTGTACTTGGCTGTTACCAATGGCTCTAACTCGAATTATAAATATTAATAAACTCAAATCATGACGAATTTGAATTAATGGAGATGTTTAAAGTCGGTTTGTCCCGATTATATTTGGTTCTATTAACTGCAAGGTTTTAAAACCGATCCGGGTGACCCGTTCAGGATACCGGGTCACGGGTTAACCGGCTTAACCAATGGTTTGACAAATTTAAAATCTAGCAAACATATCCCTGGTAAATACCAACAGACCTTATAAGTTTGAAATCTATCAAATAAACCCCTAGCCAAATCAAATCAACGATTGACTAGGAGAGTGGCAGCGACACACCAAGGCGGGTAGATCGAGTGATAGGGAGGACGAATCAACAGCTAGCAAGTTGAGGCATCGTCGAAAAGTGGCAGATCAATGGTGGAAGTCAAACAGTCGCAATGGCTTTTTTTGGCGAGATGATTGTGAATCTTCGTGAACGATGGCAAGGGAGCTTGGGAGAAGGTAGATCGATGGCTGAGGAGGCTTATCGGTGTCGGAGAAGGCGCAATCGACGTCGGGAAATGGAAGAAAAATTGTTGGATGATGAAACATAGCGCGGTGGCGGGAGATGGTGCATCACGGCCCTAGAGAAAGTCAAAAGGTGGTTTCCGACAGCAAGGGAAGGTGGAAGGTCACCGGAAAAGGGGAGGTATGATCGTTATATTTATTGAATCAATGTAATTATATATTTGAAGATATTATAAACTCTAACATTACAATATTGGCATAATAGCATCATCAAATTAGTTACAACCTTAACATTTACTAAAATTATATTGTTATTATGCGAGAATTATTCATTGTTAATATCATTTACTCAATAAGATATAATATATGAAATACAAATTACAAATATACCATTTATTAAAACCATACTTAACCACTAGTCCTGTGGTTTAATGATAAAAATTTTGTTCGTTTGGGTGTGAATTACTTAAAGGTCTTATGTTTGAGTCATAAAAAATGATTACCTACCACATTTTTTACTTACCTAACCCATTTGTCAAATTAGACACTTCGGTTATCAAAATAAATATCATACTGAATTTGTCAAATTCAATTCCATTGTTGACTAAAATCATATCGAATTTGTAGGGATATTTAACTTAACCTTGTCAAGCAAACCATAAATGATAATTTTGACAAACAAAATTTTAATACTTTTGCCAAATTAAGTCTTACCTAATATTTGATTGATACAAGGTTTGTCAAATGACTCAACCACCACCAGTTATCTTTTTTCATTTGGATCTTATCTTTCTAGAAATATGCATTTTGTAAGATTATAGGCTTAAAAATATGAAATTATATGATGATGTTTGATTTTGATACAAACTATTCACACGTCAGAAATGCTTAGTAGGCTCAGAAATCACAAGTGATTATGGAAGTATTTAGTTGGATAAAGGGAGGAGAACAATGTTTAAAGTAGTTCGGATGCTCATAAGGTGAATCCTACGTCTACTGATATTGTATTAATGAGTGAAGTCAAGTCGCGTTAAGCGAGCTGAGTTACAGTTTGGAGAATACAAGAGAGAGAGAGAGTAATATTTTCTAGAGAGAAAATTAACCCATCCCACAAATGGGAGAGAGGTTCTCTATTTATAGTGGGATGACCCACGGTAATGATTATTAAATCTGCGAGCGCGGTAGATGCTGTGCAAATCCATCTCTGCGTGTGCAAATCCATCTCTGCATCTCATTGCTCACCTGCCCAAGCGATTTCCTCGACTCGTACAAGGATTAGACACGTGGATCGTTTCCAACCATTCGCCAACCTAGCGTACACCTGCTACATTGGCATGAGCATGTCACTCATGTCATCATGCGACGTGGCCACATCTGAGCGGTTGTAGAACCTTCTTAAGCTCTGACCACCTATGCTGACAAAGCTTTTGCGTCAGCCCTACTTTTACAGGCATAACATTATATGATAAGATTTGGGTTATGATATTAGAATAATATAACTGATGCAATCAAATTGCCAGCACAAGGCCCTTGTTAATCTGTTTTATTTTTTCATGGCCTAAAGTTTCATTCTGTTGTTACATTTATATATTGAGCTGTCAATTTGACCCTTCCCAGCCTTCAAAACACAACAGAAAAAACTGTTCTTTCTCAACAAAACCACACATATAAACCATGTCTCTTAACACACAAGTACTAAAAAGACAAACACAAACTAGCCAGAATTCACATTCACTCTTCAAAAATATTTACAGAAAATGGGATGTGGAAAATCAAAACATGATGTAGCAACTGGGAACACAATCGCCAGGAAGAAATCAAATGTTGGTGATCAATCGAAGAAGACCAAGGACATTGAAACCGTCCTGGAAAATGGAACCAAAAATAACGAAATTACAAAGTCGTCATTGGTGCAACAACAAGAAGGGGATAATAATCAAAATGTCAATAGTCATAATGTTGGTGGAGACAATCCTGTGGCAGAGGTAAGGGATATAGCCGAAAACAAGGCATTAAACGAAGGAGATCATAAGGAGAAACAGGGTGGTGTTGTTGACCAAGAAAAGCATGAACCTGACGAAAGATTGATATCTGAAGAATCACCAAACCATTATTTTTCTTCAAGAAAAGAAGAGGAAGCTGTTGATGGAATTGTTTCTGAGCAAAAGTCTGATTATGACTCTCCGCGCCTTGAAGCCGTCAAGGAGAGATTGTTCAATGACAATGAGAGAGTTGACAATGCAGTCGAAGCCACAAGTTTGGATGAACAAAAACAAGGAGAAACCAAAACTGGTTTGTTTCCCACATAAAATTGATTCTTTGTACTCATTTGTGTCTTTCAGGAAACTTGTTAAATTTATAAGTGGTTTTTAACCGTGCAGCAGTTGTGAAGGAAGAAAACTCAGCCAAGGAAGCAGAAGTTTCAACTCCTACTACTGATAGTGTAGAGAAGAATCAGAATGCTGAAAAGGTGTTTTGGAGTTTTCTAGCTTAGCTAGTTAAAAATGCACCTTTTATATAATAGTTCATTAGTTCTTAGACAACTTATGAAGGTTTTGTGTGTGCAGGAACAATCGGTTGCTTCACCAACCAAGGATTTGAAAACTGTCTAATCTGAAGGAACAATTTGGGCAGACGATTGTGAAGTTTTACGATTTTTCTGGTTAATGTATTGATGTTGTTGTAACGGTGCTTAAACCGTTGTTCCATTGCAAAAAGCACATACATAAATTATGTCGTTTTTACTGTTTTCTGAGATTACATTTTGGAATCTAAAAAATTTAGATTGTTCCCACTTGAATTCTTTGATCTGTGGTATCTAGAATCTGAGAAATTCTCAGTCGGTCTAAAAAGGAACCTTATTCTTGTTTCTGCTTCTATAAGAGCTCTGTCACCCTTTTGTACCTCGAGTAATAAACAACAAAGAAAAGCTCTCTCATCATCTAATTGATCTCCACTTGTCTAATCGAATCGGTCCAACTGTCGACCGGCCTCTTTTCCGATCAGAAATTTCAATTTTACTTTTCACCCAAATCCTTAATTTGATCACCAACGAACGAGGGGTTACCAAGTGTCAAGGTTAGAGGGCTTTTGTAGAGTGGAGGCTGGTGGTTCAAGGGTTAATGTTGGAATCAATTTTAGATGCCAGAACAAGTCAAAATTTGGTCGAAAACTTCAACCAAATATGGGAATCATGGCCAACGAACCGGGGGCTGCCAAGTGCCAGGGTTAGAGGGGTTTTATAGAGTGGAGGCCGGTGGTTTAGGTGGTGGTGTTTGATTGAATTTTGGACACCAGAATTTGGCAGAAAATATCAACCCAATTGCTACGATGTTCACGAGTCACGGCTGACGAACAGAGGGCTACCAAGTTCTAAGGTTAGAGGTGTTTTGTAGAGTGGAAGATGGTGGTTCAGGTGGTGGTGTCGGATTGAATTTCTGCTACCGCAATCAGCCATAATTTGGCCGAAAAAGTTAAAACCCAAACAGATTGTAGGGGTGTATTTGCTATATTTCAAACCTGTAGGAACTGAAACATATTTTTCAGAGGTGTTTTTGTAAGATTTCAAATTTTTTGGACCACCGTGACTGGTCAAACCGTGAACTGGGACCTTGACCGAGTCAAGGCCCTATTCGGTTCTCAAAACATTGTAACTAATCTTTAGAGTTCATTAAACATCCTACAAACCTAAGCGTAATCTAAAGTCTTGTCGTCCAACCACAAGCCAAGTGACAAGTAATTAATCGATCTCTATCTTGTTGCCAGTTTTAGCATATGTAATAAGAATGTACAAGTTACAGAAAACCAAAAATGTAAGCGTAATCTAAAGTCTAGTCCTCCAACCACAAGCCAAGTGACAAGTAGTTAATCGGCCTCTATCTTGTTGCCAGGTTTGAATTTTCAGCATACGTAGTAAAAATGTACAAGTTACAGAGAACCAAAAATGTGAAGTGCCTGTTTCTTATCAAACTGTTTTGGAAGTAAAACAAAACTTGAATACGCAAGAATTTCATTCAAACCTAAAACTAAAATCGAACTCCTCCATTTAATTGAACAAAGACAACATACAAAAGTAGGGCATAGTCTCATAGTGTTCACGTAAAATCAACTGAAAACAGCGAAAGTAGAAGTAGAACAAAGTCTGGTAAGAAGAATGAGATGACTAGAACGTGCTAGTGAATCATATTAACAGGGATGATAATGTACACAATTCAATAGCTATATACACAGACTCCTTTCCAACTCAAGCCCGGTGGAACAGATTAATCAACTACACTTTTTCAAAGGGCTCAAAGAAGGAAAGACAGAATCTTGTTTAACTGAACTGTCATGGCTGACTTCTCAGCTACTACACAAGTGAAATCATGCACTACCGCAAACAAGAATCTAGATATTTTTGCTCCCAATATCTGACTCTGTTTTCAATTTCAAAGTAGGAGTGGCAGGATTTCTAGACAAGATAAAATTTCCTTTGAAATCAGTTGTCTTGTAGTCTATTATGTTTGTATCCATCACAATTCCGCATGATCTCCATGTGTCACACCCTAACTCGACACCAAAATAAACCAAATGATCCGAAATGCTATTTCCAGTCACTGACCTGAATCAGAATAAGAAAAAATGTCACCAACCATGAAATTCCAATTGATTTCAAAGATGACAAACAGTAGAAAGATTTACCTGCTGCAGGATGGGTCTTCACCTGAACCATCGCAAATCTTCTCAACTTTATAAACCAAGCTTCCCACTCCAATGTTATATAGCCATACCTGTAAATAAGAATAATGTTTCCGATGCTTAAAATAAATAAAAACATATTCTGCCACAAATAATGTGCTACATCATGATAATCAAGCCCAAAAATGCAACCAACAAACACACATCTTATTTAAGTTCTATAGAATATTTTAATGATTAAATCGTTACCTCTCTAGGGAAATGGTGATATGTCTTTTGCGGGAAATAAGAATAGTATGGAGGCAGATGAGGAACCATATCATGTTCATTTGTGACACGAATTGTATTTGGGACAAGTTTGCTATAGCAAGATGCAAAAGCTGCATTGCCAATACGAGGCTGTCCAAATGTCATAACCTGAACATCCTGGACTTCATGATTTACCTGCAAGTAAATAAATTAAACAGGCAGACTTCCTAGTATAATTACATATGCCACTTAATTCAAACCCATTCAGCAATTATGAGTCCTCCATAACAACAATAACAGTGTCGTGAATAAAACCTAGCAAATTCATTATATTCACACACACATAGAAAGTTGTATCAAAATAGGCTTATGAATAATTACTGCAAGATCAAGTCCACAAAAGGCAGCCATAGCCCCTCCCATTGAATGCCCTGTCACTATGACTTTAAATTCTCCGTAAATCTCCTTTGCTCTTTTAACAGCACTTAGAACCCCAGGTCGAATGGTTGTGTTGTGGTAAGCACTATAAAATCCATGGTGCACCTGAGAAAATGAAAGAAACATTCAGCAAACACTATTTTCCTCAATTACTTAACACCTGAATAACAATATAGAGACATTCAAAAAAACATTTTCCTGATTACACACCATTGCATCAGTCATGCCAGGGTAATTCAAATCGAGCTGTTTCCAGAATAAGTCTTCAACCCAATTTTGTATGCTGCCAATAAAGTCAGTCAATCCATTAAACAAGAAACAACTTGAGAATTATAAGTAGACATTTTACCAAACACTATTTTCTTTCACTTGTACAATCATTCATATTTCTAGCATTGTGAACAATGCAGTTGTATTACAGAGCCAGCCAGCATTCGTTCACTGAACTAATGTGTTATCGATCGTTTGTACGATGTCCAAGATAAACAACAGTCAACAGAAAATCTATACCTATGTTCTTGAGTTCCTCTAAAAGCAATGACAATTGCATCAGGATCCTTTGCCACCCCAACAAAACCCTATAAATCAATGATCATGAACGTCAAGAATACAAACTACAAATAAAAACTTAGAGAAGAATACCCTGAGAGGTCCATGCTATTATTTAATTTATATACACATAAAAAATTCACCTGCAAGCAGTGCTGGACATCAACAATTATTTCTATTATTTCAAATCCCTGTTTGCAATCAAAAGAGCATTAGGTTAAATCATTGCAAGTACAGACCAAATGATGGAAGTAAATAATATCAAACCATTCCAAGTACCTTGGTCAGACCATCACATCTTGGGCACGTCCAAGTAAACAGTTGTGTCAAATCTGACATGTAAACCTGAAAACCAAATGATATTTTGGTCACCGAAGTTATAAAATATCTAAACAAAACTCTCTTTGTCTGATGCCAAAAATCTTAGCATCACAATTTATAACAAGAATCAAGCAAACAATGTGGAGTGTATTTGTACCATACTGACTTAAGAATAAAATAGAACACACGGGTGGAACAAAGTGAAAAGTCTCTCCATGGGAACCCATGTCAACTAGGTAACAACAGATTGTGCAGAGATTATGTTTAACAGATTGATTGTTGCCGTCAAATAGCAAGAAAGAGGACGATCACTTGGCTTGTTAAGTCACGTTTAAAATTCTACAGGATATTCCATGAAACTCTAGATGCTACTTCTTGTTTGAGTCATCATGTCATTGATTGTAATTTTTTCTCAACTAAGCAAACAAAACAGGCAGAAAGTATGAAAAACAAAACATAATGAATCACATGAAAAAATATAGGAAGAGACACTATAATATGAAACATTAAATACAAATCCCACTAAAAGAATTTCAGGGACAAAGAGAACTTACTGCAGAAGCATACTCCACTAAAATTGTGGTCAGAGTATGATTGTAAATAGGTAGATTATCCTTGTGCTTAACCTTAAGTTCTGCAACAATTCCACCCGATAAAATCAGTTTCTTCAACTACATAGAACACTGCCTCGGCATCTCCCCTCTCCCCCCAAAAAAGCCACCGACGATAGAAAAAATTTAACAAAAACAATATTCCTATCACATAAAAAATAAATTCCTCCCTTGTTCTCTCACGCACTTGAGATGATACTCAATACCTTGCAATTGTCGATACATTCAAGGAAGATAAGATATGTGAAAGCCATAAAATATCGGTTAATTGCGTATACACTACTTAAACCTTGCATATATCGACTATAATGTTGTTCAGAAATTCTATTACTCATAAATAAAAGTACGCAATAATCATCTTTTAGAACAACATGATTTTCATGACCTATCAAACACATATAATTATAGTTACTAATTGACTTTTAGCTACAAAAATGTAATAATACTTGAAAAAAGCTAAAACTTTAAAGCTAAAGAGCAATATCGATGCATAGAACTAACCAATTAAATTAAACAACAAGAGCGTTATTTCAATTTATGAGTCCACAATTACCTCTGCCACACGAGAAGCTACATAGACACGAAAACATCAGCAATATCAACCATTTCTTCTGTCCCATTCTCTGCAATTGCAAACAGATAATCGATTAAAAAAATATTAACAACGATAAATCAAAATTTTAATAGAACAAATATTCAGAATAACTGACAATTCGGACCTGGTTGACCTCACTTGTCGTCAATTGGAAGCTCCGAATCCAATCAGATCGTTCGTTTCCGGTCACCGTGAAGCTCGAAGTGGTCGCAACCGTTGATTTTGTGATCTCAAGTGTTAGGTATGGAATTAAATCGGAATGAAATGAAGATGAGAGGAATAAAAAATAATAGAAGAAAGAATAAATCATTTGAGGAAGAAAATAGACGAACACGTACTTCTCCGTCTTCCTATTTTTTAATTTTTTTATCTTCTGTTTGTTATAATGACTGGTTTGTACCTGTTGAATTGCAGTTGATAAGGGTCGTTTTGAGTTTGTTGGGTTGTGTGGCTGGGTATTAAAGTAATTATACTGAAAGGGACACGTGTGCTGGCGCGTGCGGCTTGCTGTGGTTTATGTAAATTTGGATAGGATTAGATTAGGTGCCCTGTTTTTATGGTACATCCGTGTTCCCTTCTATTTCTTCTTCTTTTACTTCTATTTTGACTTTATGGATGTTGTCTGATTGTGCATGCATGTGCTGTGCACGTGACTCTTGCCTAAAATTAACTAAACCTACCCACCGAGCCCAAATCAGTAAGCTTCTAATGTTCGGATTTTGGGCTTTTGATCTAAGAGAATCTTCAACCATATTATTTATTTTAAATANCATTTGAGGAAGAAAATAGACGAACACGTACTTCTCCGTCTTCCTATTTTTTAATTTTTTTATCTTCTGTTTGTTATAATGACTGGTTTGTACCTGTTGAATTGCAGTTGATAAGGGTCGTTTTGAGTTTGTTGGGTAGTGTGGCTGGGTATTAAAGTAATTGTACTGAAAGGGAAACGTGTGCTGGCGCGTGCGGCTTGCGGTGGTTTATGTAAATTTGGATAGGATTAGATTAGGTGCCCTGTTTTTATGGTATATCCGTGTTCCCTTCTATTTCTTCTTCTTTTACTTCTATTTTGACTTTCTAGATGTTGTCTGATTGTGCATGCATGTGCTGTGCACGTGACTCTTGCCTAAAATTAACTAAACCTACCCACCGAGCCCAAATCAGTAAGCTTCTAATGTTCGGATTTTGGGCTTTTGATCTAAGAGAATCTTCAACCATATTATTTATTTTAAATAATATATTTTCATATAAATAAAAAATATATTCATTCATTTCTAAATAAAAATAACAAAATTTGTATTCAAATTCAGTAGACTCTTTAAATTTAACTTAATAAATAGGAGAGAAAATTAATAATAAAATATATAAAAACTTGTAATTTATTAAATCAAATTGGGATAGAGAGTTAAATTTGATGATATAAATGTAAAAAGTCAAACTCGTTCTTTAATTTATATCTAAAGAATAAAAAGTTTATTAAACTATTATTTTTATGAAGAAACTCTTTATAATAAAGAATTTGGGTCATATGAAAAGTCATTTAGAGATACTTTAGTGAGACAAACAAATCTCTTGTTTAGATCAATGTTGTGAACTTCTTGTAGGAAATTAATTTTATTTTTTAAATTTTATTAAATTAATCAAATTAATTATATCGTATCTACATTTGAATTCTCTTCGATATAATGATGATCATGTGTATGTCAAGATTTTATTGAATAAACATCTCAAAATATGTATTTTTTTTTTTTCTAAATTTGGATAAACAAATATCAAGAAAAGATTCAACTTTCAAATGATCAATCCACCGTGTTAATCAATATTGGTCATAAATTAAATTTAACAATCTAGCAATATAATAGTAAAATAATCAATCAATCATGGTTTAATCAATAGATATGAACTTATCGTTTACTTACTCAAAATGCTTGAGTTAGCTTGGTCTCAGATATTAATAATGAATTATAATTATGAGTTCATTAAATTTATTCATCAATAAGTTTTGACATACACATCTTATATGGAAATAACACAATTATTTAATAATTAATTTAAATAGAATAAATAGTTTTTGTTCATATATTTTTTACAATTTAAGATCTCAATGAGACAATGAACCATTATCCATATTGTAATAACAACAAAATTTAAATATAAACAAGAAAGGTATGAAAAACCTAACCAATTAACCCCTAGGTTCCATATGCGCACCATATGGTCCGAGCCCATGCACCTAGCCCTAAGCCGATGGGCTAACCCACCAGACCACCAAAGAACTCTATGGCGGGAAATAATTTTTCCACTATGAATGGCGGGAAATCCCCATTTCACACCCAAGCCCACTAGAAACCGCACATCTTACTCTCTTAAATCGAACGGCCATAAATGGTCCCAGACACATTCATTTCTCACCCTTTTTACTTGGACTCCTCATCTAAAATTAATCTAGGTCGGTCCTTTTGTTTCTCTCGCTCTCTCTCTCTCAAGAAAGAAACCCTCGATCCGAGTAAAAGAAACAAATGGCGAGACCCTCGAAGCAACAAGACTCGTCCGATGAAGCCATGTCGAACGGCTCTAGTTCGTCGGAGGACGAGCAAATCAATGATCAAATCAACGAAGACGATGAAGAGGAGCTCGAAGCCGTGGCACGTTCCGCCGGCTCCGACGAAGACAACTCCCCGGCGTCCGAGGAAGAGCCCGTTGCCGAGGGTGAAGACGTTGAAGAGGTGATTTCGGTTTTCCCCTTTGTTTTTTTAAATTTGTAGTGATCAATTTTTTGTACGGATCTTAGATGTTTGTATGTGTATTTGTTAGGGCTTTTATGTATTTTTTTTGTACTGAAAATTACAATAAAAGAGGTTGTTTAGCGCAATTTGACTCAGATTTTATAGATAGTGTATTCTTTGATGTTTTAATTTATTACGTAGAGCAATTGCTTATTGAGTGCTCTCTAATGCATGATATACAATGGCATTTTAAAGTATGCTATTCTGATCACTTTATTTGCTGAGTTAGTAAGGGTTTTTCGTATTCTATGGTGGTAAGCAATGAAAAAAGCAACGAATTTTTTTTTTTTAAATTTTAAAATTTTTGAATGGTACAAATTTAGGAGTTGGGTTTTTGTTTTTAACTGATTAACCTACAATCTGTTACTTAAAGCAAGTATCAAAGTCAATTTCATCAAGGTTCTGCTGTTTAGGGTGGTATTGGACGTGATATTGTAGGTTGTCTTATTCAAATTTATGGAGAAACCTAGTTCCATTTACTGAGCACAGTTTTTTTTTTTTTTTATCTTTTTTCCTTTCGGTTTCAAATGTTATTAAGTCTGGTTTTAATTTATCTTTTCTCTGGTTTATTTTTATCAGCAAGACGAAAATGGTGGAACTAATGCAGAACTCAGCAAGCGAGAGAAGGCGAGACTAAAAGAAATGCAGAACTTAAAGAAACAAAAGATTCAGGAAATATTGGATGCCCAAAATGCTGCTATAGATGCGGATATGGTGTGTGAATGTTTTATGCATTAGGATTCATATTCTACATACTTGTGGAGTGCTGAAAATATTGATCAAGTTTAATAATGTTTGTATTGATGGCAGAACAATAAAGGGCAGGGCAGATTGAAGTATCTATTACAGCAAACAGAGTTGTTTGCCCATTTTGCCAAAGGTGCCCAATCTCCATCTCAGAAGAAAGTGAAAGGAAGGTATACCTTATGCATGATTAGGAGTTCTATTGTGTCCTCTATCTTGATTTGTTCAGACCATATTTGTTTTGTAGTACATGTGTTCATGATTTCTCTGTCTGCTGTTTACTTACCAATTTTCATAATTAAAAGAAATTATTTGGAACTCTTCTGGATGATAAGTTAAGCAGTGACAAATTCTTAAATTTCTTTCATTAAGATGAGTGAATATGTGAGAGTCTTAGCATAGACTATGGTTTTTAGATTTAAAAATGCATACAATCTAAGAGATTTAGACTCTACTTTGAAGGTGAATGCTTTTATTTTCTCTGAGGCACAGTTTATGGTTCATATGGCTCCTTTAAATTATGATGTATAGGTTTTCCCTTTTCTTCATATATAAACTATTGATTGAACTCCTTTAAATGAATGATGTTTTACTTAATTGTGTTATGCATTCAAATTTCAATCTATGTTTAACTATGCCCTTTTTTGCTTATGAATTTAGGGGTCGCCATGCATCTAAATTGACTGAAGAGGAAGAAGATGAAGAATACTTGAAGGAAGAAGAAGATGGTTTATCAGGAACCACACGGCTGGTAACACAACCTTCTTGTAAGTGCTCTCTCTATCCCTCTCTTAATGCGTGTTTCTGAGTGATTTTGATATGTCTTTAAGAGGTTATTATCTTATGAATTTTTTCTGTTTATTTATTTATTTTTATCATTGAATACCTTTTCATTTTTCTATGTTGTTTTAGTTACCTTTTATTAGTATATCTGAAATTGCGAGCTTATGATTGTTATTGTTTTTGCCGGAATTGTTGATGGACACATGATTTTGTGTACTTACGGGAATTTTTATAACATACTAAAAAAAAGACTTCTGGTTAAAAAAAAAAGAGGACTGTTGGGCTTCTGTTGTTAATTCAGCTGAATGTTTTAGGATCATAGAGAAATGGATTGGGGGGGACTGATCAAGATGTTATGTTTCTGTTTTATGTGTTAATACCATGATCTATTCAGCAGGTACCACTGTTTAGTATGGCCTCTGTTTGAATCATACACAGATTCTTCTTCCGTCTAGTGTATCTATTCTGGCTTGGTTGATATTTTTTTAGTCAAGGTGCAACTGAATTTAGAGTTGATTTTTCTTTTTCATTTGTATTCCCATTCTACAGGTATTCAAGGAAAGATGAGGGATTACCAACTTGCTGGATTAAACTGGCTCATTAGATTGTATGAGAATGGTATAAATGGGATCCTTGCGGATGAAATGGTATGCATAAAAATTATAGCTTCTTAAATTGATCCTTGTAACTTAAAGAGTGTATGAGTTGAGTTCAGTACTTTGAGCTTGGTCTGTGACATTATTTTGTCATGTTATAAATGATTTCCATGTCATCCAGTCATGGTATATTACTATTGATCATTTTTGTTGTATTCCAGGGTCTTGGAAAAACTTTGCAAACCATATCCTTGTTAGGCTACCTTCATGAGTTTAGAGGAATTACTGGTCCTCATATGGTTGTTGCTCCAAAATCTACCCTTGGTAACTGGATGAATGAAATTCGTCGTTTCTGCCCAGTATTGCGTGCTGTTAAGTTTCTTGGAAATCCGGATGAAAGGGTAATCTCTCAGAGTATGCTTTGGTGGAATACTTCTATGCTGTCTTCTTGTTATTTTGTTACAATTATTTGTCATTCCC